AAGAAAGAGAAATTAAGGAGTCAATCCCATTTACAATTGCACCCAAAAGCATAAGATACCTAGGAATAAACCTAACCAAAGAGGTAAAGGATATATACCCTAAAAACTATAGAACACTTCTGAAAGAAATTGAGGAAGACACAAAGAGATGGAAAAATATTCCATGCTCATGGATTGGCAGAATTAATATTGTGAAAATGTCAATGCTACCCAGGGCAATTTACACGTTCAATGCAATCCCTATCAAAATACCATGGACTTTTTTCAGAGACTTAGAACAAATTATTTTAAGATTTGTGTGGAATCAGAAAAGACCCCGAATAGCCAGGGGAATTTTAAAAAAGAAAACCATAGCTGGGGGCATCACAATGCCAGATTTCAGGTTGTACTACAAAGCTGTGGTCATCAAGACAGTGTGGTACTGGCACAAAAACAGACACATAGACCAATGGAACAGAATAGAGAATCCAGAAATGGACCCTGAACTTTATGGTCAACTAATATTCGACAAAGGAGGAAAGACGATCCACTGGAAGAAAGACAGTCTCTTCAATAAATGGTGCTGGGAAAATTGGTCATCCGCATGCAGAAGAATGAAACTAGACCACTCTCTTGCACCATACACAAAGATAAACTCAAAATGGATGAAAGATTTAAATGTGAGACAAGACTCCATCAAAATCCTAGAGGAGAACACAGGCAACACCCTTTTTGAACTTGGCCACAGTAACTTCTTGCAAGATACATCCACGAAAACAAAAGAAACAAAAGCAAAAATGAACTATTGGGACTTCATCAAGATAAGAAGCTTTTGCACAGCAAAGGATACAGTCAACAAAACTCAAAGACAACCTACAGAATGGGAGAAGATATTTGCAAATAACATATCAGATAAAGGGCTAGTTTCCAAAATCTATAAAGAACTTATTAAACTCAGCACCAAAGAAACAAACAATCCAATCATGAAATGGGCAAAAGACATGAAGAGAAATCTCACAGAGGAAGACATAGACATGGCCAACATGCACATGAGAAAATGCTCTGCATCACTTGCCATCAGGGAAATACAAATCAAAACCACAATGAGATACCACCTCACACCAGTGAGAATGGGGAAAATTAATAAGGCAGGAAACAACAAATGTTGGAGAGGATGTGGAGAAAAGGGAACCCTCTTACACTGTTGGTGGGAATGTGAACTGGTGCAGCCACTCTGGAAAACTGTGTGGAGGTTCCTCAAAGAATTAAAAATAGACCTGCCCTACGACCCAGCAATTGCACTGTTAGGGATTTACCCCGAAGATTCAGATGCAATGAAACGCCGGGGCACCTGCACCCCGATGTTTCTAGCAGCCATGTCCACAATAGCCAAACTGTGGAAGGAGCCTCGGTGCCCATCGAAAGATGAATGGATAAAGAAGATGTGGTTTATGTATACAATGGAATATTACTCAGCCATTAGAAACAACAAATACCCACCATTTGCTTCAACGTGGATGGAACTGGAGGGTATTATGCTGAGTGAAGTAAGTCAATCGGAGAAGGACAAACAGTGTATGTTCTCACTCATTTGGGGAATATGAATAATAGTGAAGGGGAATATAAGGGAAGGGAGAAGAAATGTGTGGGAGATATCAGAAAGGGACACAGAACATAAAGACTTCTAACTCTGGGAAATGAACTAGGGGTGGTGGAAGGGGAGGAGGGCGGGGGGTGGGGGTGAATGGGTGACGGGCACGGAGGGGGACACTTGACGGGATGAGCACTGGGTGTTATTCTGTATGTTGGTAAATTGAACACCAATAAAAATTAATTTATAAAAAAAAATAAAGTCTGGAGCATTTGGTTGTGAATAAATTACTTTACTTAAAAAAAAAAAGTTTAATATTCTTCCCATGGCTTCACAACCTTAGCAGCACAGGAAGGTGACTGTAGTGCTTGGTGAAAACCCGGATGCTTAGCTCCACCACCAGCCTCTGAGACTCAGCCTCCCTTTGCCTGGGATGGAGCCTGATCCCTAATATTTTAAAAATTCAGGTAGCTGTTCTGTGTAGCCAGGGATATGAACCACAGTTCTCAGTAGAGACCAAAGAGCTATGTAGCAATGTATGTATGTAGCAAGCAAACAATGTTTTGTTTTTGTTTTTGTTTTTGTCCATTGTTATGGACTGAATGTTTGTATTTTCCTAAAATTCACTCCTTCATTTCCTGCATTGTCATTTTTTTTCCCTCTGTGCAGAGAAAGGGCAGTATCTTCTTCATCGGCAAAGGCCAGCATAGGATTACCCCATTCATTCATTGGATCAACAAATTTTAAGGATCAGCAATGTACACAGGTCCCTCCTATTACGGAGCTTTTGGGATTGTGGATGGCAGCATAAAGGGCCAGAGGAAGCTTCTGGAGGCCGCAGTTCTGTAGGGAAAAGAGACCGGTTCTGGCTTGGAGCCTGGCTTCGCCACTTAGCAGCTGTGTGGACTTGGGCAAGAAACTTAACTTTTCTGAGCCACAGTCACCTCATACAAAAAACATACATATTATACAATTTCTTCCAGTTTACCCTGAAAGTTAAGTGTTACTTGTACTCACCAGTACTAAATGAATGTCTGTTTAACGCATAGGCAGGGGCTGCTCTGGCCGGGCCTCCTCCTCCAGCTCTGGTGCTTTGTTAAATTTTTATAGATTTTGCCCATCTGCAAATTGTTCTCCATGGAAGAGGTACTAGTTTACACTTAAATTATACAACAGAGAGGTGGGAATGGACCCATTTCCTCATCCTCTTAACACCTAGTATATTATCAGACTTTGAGATCTTTGCTGATCAGTCATGTGAAAACAGCCATCTCAGTGGAGTTTTTATTTGCATTTCCCTTAACATGAGTGAGTTCATGTACCTTTTCCATCTCTTTCAGGGCTCTAGTTCTGCAAACCATCCATTTATATCTTGTGCCCACTTTCCACTGCGGGTGTTTTTTTTTTTTTTTTAATTGATTTGTGGGATTTGGTCACCTATTTCAAAATTACCCTTTTCCTGCATATAGGTTGCACATACTTGCCTATATTTGTCCTCCAATTTTTGATTTGGTTAATGGTGGTGTTTTTTAAACATACAGATTTTTTTGTGTGTGTGTAGCCAATATATTGATCTTCTCTTTTATGACTTCTAAATCTTGTGTCAGACTTGGAAAGCCCTTTTCCACTCTTAGACTCTGAAGTGAAAACAAAATCCATGTTCTCCTTTAGTTTTTTTTTTTTTATGGTTTTATTTTCATGGTTACATCTTTAATCTTCCTGGAGTTTATTTTTGTGTACAGAGTGGGGTACTGGATCCAAGTTTCTTTCCCCCAAGTAGCTTCCTAGTTGTCCTAGATTCTTTTATTAAATAATCCATATTTTCTCCACTGATTTGAAACCTACTTAAGTTTTGAAAGAAGGTCAGAGACTTCTAAATTTGGCAGCAGGAGGATGTTCAAGCTGCAAAACTTTAGATGAGGCTTGTAGCTCTTTCTGAGTTGTGCCTCTTGTCATTTGGAAAAAGAAGAAATACAGGTGCATTGTTCTGAAAATGTAGTTCAACAACCAACTGTGTGGGAGAGTGGAAAGAACACAGACTCCCAGGTCAGAAAAACCTGACTTCACTTCTCCTGTTGAGTAATCATGGGCTAGTCACTTAACTGCTGTGTGCCTCAGTTTTCTCCTCCATAAATGGGTCTAATAATAGCATCTATGTCATACTGTATTGTAAAGTTCAAGTGCATTAATATATGTGAAAGAGCTTTATAAATTATAATGGTCTGTGAGCACATTAGTTATTTGAAGTTTTACAAGTTGGTACGGCAATGCTGATTGACTTAGGCAACACAATTCTAGATTTTTACATTTATTAACTTTCTGGAAATCCTTCCAACTTATTTGGAGATAGTTATCTTCTTTCTTCTTGATGGTGAGTATTGTGGGTTTGCTGCATTTTTGCTTATTAGTTTGTTTTCTGACAGTATCTGAGTGGAAGAAGGAAGAGAAGAGTAGGAAATTAGATCATCCATTGGGTTTTGAGGGAGAAGGAGGTGAATCAGCAATGGGGGGAGGAGAGGGACTTGGTAGAGGGAGGGAAAACCAGAGGGAGAGTGAATGAGTTTATTTCCAATCTCATAAATATAATTATTTCCTAGAAAATGTTAAAACTCATTGCTTTATAATTTAATTTGCAGCAAAGTTTTGTGGGCAGCGCAGAATAAAGGCTGAGCGGCAGGCAGTATAGTGCTTGGGCAGAGTCCCTTGTCTTCTTAGTATACCCAACTTCCTCATCTCTGAAGCAGCGACACTCATAAATGCAGTCCTCATGCTCACGTGAAACTAGATTGAAGATCAGAGTAGGCAATTGAGGAAAAAGTATAAATATATGATGGTGGCTTGTGTTTGTCCCCAGAGAATGCAGTCTACATCATCTGCAACCAATCCTGCCGGAGAGAGGTGAGCCTGGAGTCCCGGCAATGACTCTTCCCCATTCCCCGGGAGAAATGCCCTCCCTAGTTTGAAGCCAGCAGAAGTCCAGGCAGTGGAGGACTTTGCAAAATCTTGCAAACTCCTGCAAAGTTTGCAAGAAAGGACATGGGATGATGACTCCATTATCACAAGGGGAAGAGAGACTGCCCAGGAGGGAGAAGGTGGGGACACTGGATGGGGACCTGGAAGGGGTTTGGACCTGGAAGGGTGGTGTCCATGAAACCAGCAGAAGGACCAGGAGGGAATGAAACTACCATTTGGGTACCAGGTGTGGGGCACGTAATGAAGAAAAATGTGACTGTGATTTAAGTTGTTGGAACCAGAGAAACCTGTTCTTCAGAATGCACTCAGCTGTAAACCTGGCTTTACCCTCTCTTTTGTTGATTAGTTAAGAGGTGGCTAACAGGAATCACAGTTCCCAGCATGCAGAGCTCTTCCACATGCCTTATTACAAATGCTTCCAGCTCTAGGGGAAAGGCAACTTCAAAATTCCTTCCATGTGCACACTTTGGCAGCACGTATACTAAAATTGGAATGATAAAAAGATTAGTAAGGCCCCTGCACAAGGATGACACCCAAATTTGTGAAGTATTCCATATTTTTGAGAGAACAAATGCTTCAAGTCTACAAGTGCAAAATTCCTCCCATGTTTAGCACATTTTAAGTGTATTTTGTTAAGTTCTAAAAATTTGAAAACAGATCACCCAAAACATCCCATTCATCAGTTGGCCCAGGTGCTACAACAAATTATAATATTTTCTCTGTATCACTCATTATAAATAAGTGAATTCTCAGGAAGTATATTGGAAACCACCACAGGATGTTTGCACTTTTTGGTGAGGTCACATAATTAAATTTTCACCATGAATTTCTGGTTAATTCTATAATAGCCCAGAGAATTGTGCCTATGTCTATGTGTGTACACTTTCATTAATAAAAACCCTCCATCAGGGCCAGCTCCATGGGCATGTGTGTGGCCTGTGCAGTCATCCAGAGCCCCACCCTCAGAAAAGCCCTATGCATGATTCAGTGTTCTGCTGTCACTGCCTTGAAATTCTTAATAATTTTTGAACAAGGAGCCTCACATTTTCATTTTGCACTGGATTCCACAAAATATATACTCAGTCCTGCCCACTATGAAATATTGGACTTTGTCCAAAATGGCAAGTTTTTTTAAACATTTAATTAGATAGTTATCAGTATATATTTTTTAATGCCTACTATTTAGAGAAAGGGGAACCCTCTTACACTGTTGGTGGGAATGCAAACTGGTGCAGCCACTCTGGAAAACTCTATGGAGGTTCTTCAAAAAATTAAAAATAAAACTACTCTATGACCTAGAAATTGCACTACTAAGTATTTATTCAAAGGATATAGACATAGTGATTCGAAGAGGCACATGCACCCCAATGTTTATAGTGGCAATATCCACAATAGCCAAAATATGGAAAGAGCTCAGATGTCCATTGGCAGGTGAATAGATAAAGAAGATTTGAGATATATAAAATAGAGTATTACTCAGCCATCAAAAAGAATGAAATCTTGCCGTTTGCAACAATGTGATTGGAACTAGAAGGTACTATGCTAAGCGAAATAAGTCAGTCAAAGACAAGTACCATATGGATTTCGCTCATATGTGGAATTGAAGAAACAAAACAGATGAACATAGGGGAAGGGAAGGAAGAATCAAATAAGACAAAAACAGAGAGTGGGGCAAATCAGTTAAGAGACTCTTAACTGTAGGGAACAAACTGAGGGTTGCTGGAGGAGAGGTGGGTGGGGTGATGGGGTAACTGGGTAATGGGCATTAAGGAGGGCACTTGATGGAATGAGCACTGGGTGTTTTATGCAACTGATGAATCACTAAATTCTACCCCTGAATCTAATAATACAGTATATGTTAATTTAAGAAAAAAACACCTACCATTCAGGTATCCCAAAATTTACACGGGAATGTTTATAGGGGGGAAATACTTCATCGTGCCAATGTACAAAGATATGAATTTTGAATAAACAGCAATAAATAAATGGTTGGGAAATAAAAAAATATATATAGTTGAAATAATGTCTTTGGTTCAGGAGCATTAATTCCAACCATGTCATCCCCTCTATTTAGAGGAAGTGAGAGAAAAATAAAGAGGCTGAACAGAGAAGGCCAAGGTTGTAGCAAAGAACGGAAGCGAGGGTGGGAGAGTGAAATGAATCAAGTGTTGAGTCCAAGTCTTCTTTAGATGCAAAAAAGCAATTTGCATGGTCACCCCCTCTGATGTGTGTGTGTTATCTGATGCTATCGACTTCTCAGGGAGTCAGACTGTGTGCTCTCTTCACTGTGTGGTTTAGAAGTTTTAGTGTGTCTGGATTTGCTTTGCAGTGGAGTAGGGACCTACTTGGCAATCTCTGGACTCAGAGTAAAACAGCTGTTCAGTGGCTTTGAGCTTCTCTCGCTGTGCTTGCAGGTGGCTTACTGTTTGGCCTGAACCTGTAACAATAAAGTTAAAAAATGAGTTAGCCTCTTTTCTTACACTCTGCAAATACATACCTCTCTCCCTAAATTCTCAGCATTGCTTTATTATATGTTTGGTCCCAGCCATTCCTTTCACCAAGTTTTCTCTTAAACAGATATGTATTCACCCAAGAAGTGATTCTGTTGCTTTAAGAGGGGAAAAAATGTCACACTTGGTTGATCTGAAAATGTAGCACCTGGCGCCCATATTTAGAAATGTGAAGACACACACACACACACACACACTTACCAGCCTTCACTGAAGTGTGCAAAACATCACAGGAAGCTCATTGAGTTCAATCATTTATTTGTAAGTTGGTTGTTTGGAACTTGAAAGCACTTTTTTCCCCATAGAAATGAAGCTATAAATGGGGCTTTGGTCCCCAGGCTCGAAAGACTGTTGCAGAAATGTCTGCTGTGGCAATGAAAACAGAAAACGACTGTATGGAGATACAATAATTGAGCCAAAGAGAAAAGCTAGAGAAGTAAAGCTTGTTTCCTTTGAATGCTTCCCTGGAAGAGGGATGGATTTCGTCTAAAGAGGTGTGGAGGCAGCCAGAGGCTTCTGAGGTGCCTGGGGGTCATGTCAGTGCCCCAGACTCTTTGTAGATCCTCTTGAAAGCCCGGGTGCTCTTCATCCCCCTGGAAGGGTGTGCCACACAGCACTTTGTTGTGACTCCCATGTGTGCATTCTATTTGTGGCTCAGAATGGAAAAGAGAGCAAGAGAGTAGGCGAACTTTTCTTAGGTATCTGGAGTTTTGAAAAAAGAGCAAATAAAGTTGGGTGACCTTGTGATGCCATAGCTCATGTTGTTCCCTTGGAAGAGAAAGTCCCTCTGAGCTCCTCTTCACAAGCTTCCTATTTGTTTGGAAAACTCCAGCCCACAGGTCCTCTTCTCTGGGGAGCTGTCCCCACTTTCCTAACTAGCTCTCACTGTAGCAGATCTATATCTATATCTATATCTATATCTATATCTATATCTATATCTATATCTATATCTATATCTATATCTATGAAATCACACTTCACATCCTTTATAAGTATTTGTCTGTATGTCTCTCCCACTTAATTAGGAATCCTTTAAAGAAAAAATAATTCAAATTCATTTTTAAAAATCTCAGGAACCTATACAAGAATGTATGTCTCCTTTGTCTATGTTGGAAGCAAACTGTGAGCAGTAAAAAATGGGACTAGGGAAATATAGTGGGAACATCATCCCACCACAGGGGAAGATTGGAGACCACCAATCTTGGGAAGATGTCTCGGATCAGAACCTACCCATCTCTCCCCACTTACCAAGAGCTTCACTAGTCTAGAACCACTTGCCTCTTGTCCATGACGAATGGAAGAAGGAGACCTTGAGGTGGGTTAGGGGACATAGCTACTACTTTACAAACTACAGTGGCTATATTTTGAGGATTGTCGGGTAGCCATTCTCCTTTCCTCCAATGACAGCCCCTGACTTTCATGTAGGGGTCATGGGTGGACCTCAGACCTAGCTCCAAGGTGGAGGATGGGCATCAATTTCCCCCTTGGTGTTGGCTCTAGGGTTGGAGATGTGGCCAAAATATCCACTCACAGTGGATCTCTCACTTTTGAGGGTGCTGTCACCATCCCATTGTACTTGAACCTGAGGTTGGAGTGGCCAGAGTGATGGTATGTTAGTGAATGTTTAATAATTAGCTTTCAAACAAAAGCCCAAACAGCCCTGATTTGCAGTGTCTGCCAACTCCTGTAGGGTAAATATTTTCACCATGGTTGTTTTCAAGCTCTAACAGCGCCACTAAAAGTGGAGTGGAAAAGATTCACAGTGGCAAACTGCTATGTCATTTTCCCACCTTTAAGAGAGATACCATAGGTGTGAATAATCTCAAGAGAATAGATATTAGCTAAATGTATTAAAATAACCAGAAAGAGATGAGTTTTGAATATCTATTACCTTTGTTTTAAATATAACTGATTTAATTATAGGCTTATTTAATTTATTTTTCAAATAATGGCTATATTAACAATAGGTTCACAACATTTCTGAAAATTTAATTGTCTTCCAAGAGCTGATATGGGCTCCATCCAACAACCCACTGAACCAGAGCTACCTGGTTCCCTTGAAGAAAGGAATTAGGCAGGAGGGTCAGAGGGTGTGACAACCAGTCCTAATCATAGTGTTTGGGCCTTGAATACTGTAGCCTGCTTAGCCCAGGACAGTTGGATAAACCAAAAGTTTCCTTTCTTATTAATTCAGCCTGAGTTGGGTTTTCTGCTACTTGTAATTGAAATAGTCCCAAGTAAGATATAAATATTTTTTATATTTATGTACTTCACATTTTTGATTCAAATGAGACTGACTTACAATATGTAGTGGGTTGAATAGTAGCAGAAATATATATGTGTCTATGCCCTAACCCTTGAACCATGAACCTTTTCCCAAAACGGTTGCAGATGAAATTAAGTTAAAGATCTTGACATGAGATCATCTTGGATTAACTTGGTAGGCCCTAATCCAATGACAAATGTTCTTATAAGAGATATACAGAGAAGAGACAGACCCAGAGAGAAGAAAGAAGGCCATGTGAAGATAGAGGCAGAGATGTGAGTTATGCAACCACAAGCCAAAGAATGCCTAGAGCCCCAAGGAGCTGGAAAAAGCAAAGAAGGATATGTCCCTAGAGTCTGTAGGGGGCCTGCTCCTGCTTACACCTTGATTTTGGACCTTGGTCTCCAGAACTTGAGAGAATAAGTTTCGGTTGTTTGAAAGATACCAAATTTGTGATAATTTGGCTGTAGGACACTAATACAAGGTAGTAATATTTTGCCTGTTCAACAAGCATCTTTTCCATCTTTACCCTAATTTTAGGTTGAACAAAAGATCCATTGTAGAGTTTAGGAAAGTTTTTAAAGTGGATGTGATGATTACCCAAAGATAATGACTCTCAATATGCTAGTCTGCTCTCTTGGATGTGTGTAATTATAAAACCTGAATTATGCTATATAGACAGTTTCAGGTCATACTTTTATTTTATTTTATTTTATTTTATTTATTTTATTATTATTTTTTGCCAATACATTATGAAGATTTTCTCATAGCATTGTAACTTACTT